TGTTGTTATTATCTACTACTTAATGAAGGAAATCATACGGTATTTGACCTTCTCCCTCTGACTTATTTCACTTTGCATTATACCCTCAATGTCCATCTATGTTGTCACAAATGGCTGGATTTCGTCGTTTCTTATGGCTGAATTGACAAACCTTTAGCTAGACTCACCATGAACATTCATGTTTTAATGAATATCTTTGAACTGAAGTCATTTTGAACATTTTAATAATTTCTTTAAAAATTTAAACATCTTTTTGAGTAGAATACACTCTCATTTGTAAAAATTAAAACACTACAGAAAGGTATAAGCTAAAAAGTGGTAAAAACTCTTATTTCTCACCTACCTCCCAACTTTTATTTCTTTTTGATAGTAAAATTTGGTGTGTAATCTCCTAGACTGTTTCCTGTGCTTTACATACATATTTCTCCACCTATACAAATAGGTTGTATATATTTTTGGTGTATTTCTTGGCTATGTTTTTGATTTTCCTGCTCTTTTACAGTTTAGTCCTTGTAAACATTGTTTTCTCGATATTCCTTACATATTGAGGGTACCATCTTTTCCCTGTTATACATCCATGGAAAACATTTCCCTACCACATTGTTCATTTAATCCGGATCAGTGCTTGTCTTCCCAAATGTCAGTAACACTTCAGGTGGGGAACGGCTCTATGTGACAGGCTGTTCAGGATCTCTGGGACCCCTGGGGCAAAAACCAAGAGGACAACACAAAGCAAGAAACAAAACCCATCCCGCATGTTTCCAGATGCATCCTGGGGGAAGGACAGCTCCAGTTGAGGACCACTGATGTCCTGGTCAAAGTTATCCACTATGTTCTCCTATCACGTTAAAGCTGTTTCTGTAGTTTCTCGTACCTGATGGTACAGTTTGGTGCCTTTGTCTGTTCCTCTTGGTCAGACTGCACAAGTCTTCTCACTGTTACAGGTCTTTCCAGACAGCCAGCCCTTGACTCCATTGCTCAGGTCTACTTTGTTGTTCCTGCCTCGTCAAACCTCACTTCATTCCTCTGTCTTTGGTTTTATTGTGGTGTTGTTCTGGCTCCAGGAGGTAATTGCTCAGATTCTTTGTGTATAGTTGATATTCCCTGATACCTGCAGTGGAGACTGTGTCCCTTCTGTCCCTTTGTTCCCACGCCATGGATTTGCCTCATGCTGCTCTCGTTGTTCTTTTCTAAAGAGTTTGTCCTGTCTGTCTGGATTCCCTCTTTAAACTGAGAGATTTAGAAGGGTGTGGACAGATTCTCAAGTGGATAAGTTGGGGGAGGGGAGCCAATATTTTGTGATTATTCTTTACTTTTATTGTTTATGGTCCAGTAATATGATCACTTATAGATTTCTTTTTGGACTCTTTAGAGATTTCATTGTGGCTTAGCACACAGTCCATTGCGGTGACTGTTTCACTGTGTTGTGAGGAGAATGTATCCTCTCCACTAGTTGCTTACATTGTTGTCCCTCAGGCTGAGGCTAGATCTAGCTTTTTTGTGTTCGTCAGCAGATCTGTTTCCTAACTTACTGTATCACTTGACCTGTGGATTTCTCAGAGAGGTAAGGTAGGTTTCCCTGTGATTCTGGAGGTGCCTGTGTCTTCTTGTTTGTCCAGTTTTGCTTTATGTTTCAAGATCATATTGTTAGGTGCATAAATGTTCCTGACAGTTATTAACACAGAAAACTTCTTTTTGTCCCATTTAAAGTCTTATTTCTTTATCTCCTTATTTTCAACCATATTATATCCCTTTACTTTATAACTATATTTTAACTCAACTTGAGAGCCTTCATGTTTTTGTGGAGCAATTTGATCCATTTACAATTGTGATTATTGATAAATTGGAATTTGAGTCTACCATTTAATTTAATTTTTAATTTGTTAGGCTTTCTCTTGATTTTTCTATTCTTCTAGTGGTTGTCTTTCAGCTAGTAGGAACAACCATTTCTGCCTCTCTTTCTGTAAATGCTTAGAGTTGGTCAGTTCCTGTGTTCTACACTCCCAACTCCTCACCTTCCAGTCCCCAGCTTGAGACTGTCTGATCTCAGTTCTGTGTTCTTATTTTCCCCATCAAGCAACCGTGATTGGATGTAAGTATACGTTTTATCGGTTACTTTGTTCACCACTATTTATGGTATCCAAATTTTTCCTCCTTTTTGGAAAGATTTGATGCTATTTTGGAACTCATATGACAGTAAAATTTTGAGAGGAATCGAGTCTGAGATACTCCTTAGGTGCTGATGCTGGGGAGCTAGCACCTAACCTTTTAAAGTTGCATCAGTCTATCTGCAGAGTCGGGATGAGGTCAGAGATGTTTAAAACCATGGAATTGAATGAGGTTTTCTGGAGACACTGCAGCTGTGGAAGGCACAAGGGCCCAGCCTAGGAGCAGGCAGTGTTTGCAGAGGTGAAGCTGAAGAGGGTCCAGGAAAGGGAACTGAAACGATGGAGCATGGAGTCGCAGGAGCCATGAGGGGAAAAGGGTATTGGAGAAAGGAGTGGCGATCAACTGGGTCGGATACAGCTCTGATCAGAATGGAGAGAAGATGGCTGGACTCGCCCACATGGGATCACTGGTGACCTCAGTCTCCTTGACAGGGTGGGAATGAAGCTGGGTCTAGAGTGGGGGAAGGGGGACCATGGGATGGCAGTAAGGATGAGGCACTTTACTTAAGAGGTTTAGCCATGAAGGGGAGTCGGGAAAGTGGACAGTAGTCGAAAGGGAGGATGGGTCCAAGGGAGAGTTTTGTTTGTAAGGTGGAGATGAGCTAGCAGGTGCTGCAAGTAGGACCCGATGGAGAGCAGGAGCCTGAGGGCCTGGGAGGAGCATGCTGGGCCCTGAGGAGGTGCAGGGCTGGGCTCCACTGCCTGGGGAGGTGCAGAGAGTAAGAGGACAGATGTGCTGGTGGAAAGGGCGCCCTGCGCCTCTGCTCCTCTATTCCTGGAGCGTGAGGTGGGCAGTGGCTGGGAGAGGAGGGGCGATGCACAAGGTGTTAGGTGAGCAGCAGGGGGAGGAGGGGGAAGGAGAGATGGCGCCCAGGCTTTGTCTCCATGGCCCACTTGAAGCTCCCCACTGGGATCCCCGGTCACCAGCTGTTGTCTCTCTTTGATGTCTTCCTCAAAATGTCGGCTCTCTTGATGGTTCCCAGAGCTATTATGAATTTGCTCATTAATGAAGCAATCTTTGGGTCATTTTTTAGGGATTTTATGTCAAGGGGCCTCTACCTGTGTTTATTCAGTCCGTCATCTTTACCCAATCCCTTTGTTTTTGGACAGAGTCCGTACAACAGAGCAGCCAGGCCAGTGGCCTCCAAGTTCCAGGGTTCGGGAGGTTTGCCCTCCAGAAAGCTGGTGCTGATTGACATTCTCACAGGACGTGGTGCTCTGCCCCTGAGCCCGCTCTACCTGTGGGTGTCACGACATTGTAAATCCTGGGGCAGTTCTGTCAGGGCCCATCGTTGGCATTTCTGTGGCCGGTGATGGCGAACATTTTTCCGTGTTCATTATCTGTCACTTCCCTGACTGTGCTGTTGCCTGCTTTTCTCACTGAGCTCCGAACCTTCCTGGTGGAACCAGAACGTTCACTCTCTATCCAGTGTGATTGCACATTCCCTCAGTGTGCCCCTTGAGTACTTGCTTCAAAAATATCTGTTCTCTTCACATTCTTTGATTCTTTGTACATATAAAAATGTTTTATTGTGGAAAACCTGGAACATACACAAATTAAACAGAAAAGTGTGATAGCCCCCCATGTCCCTATTACCCAGCTTCAACATTTATTAATATTCTGATATTCCTGTTTCGTCCATATTTCTACCCACTCCCTACCTTCCATTGATTATTTTTTAATGAATAGATTGTTTTTTGGGAAAGTTTTAGATGGACAGAGAAATTCAGCAGATAGTGCAGAGCATTTCTCCCTCCTCCCCCGCAGTTTCCTCTACTGTTAACATCTTGCATGACCACCTGTGTTAGTGCGGTTCATTCCTCACAGGTGAGGAGCTGATGCTGCTACAGCGTTCATAACCAAGTCCATAGTTTACATTAGGGTTCACTGTCTCGCTGTCATCTACTTGGATTTTGACAAATGCATAATCTCATGTATCCACCACGACAGTATCCTACAGAAGAGTTGGACTGCTGTAAAAGTCCCTGTGCTCAGCCTCTTCATCCCTTGCCCCCAACTCCGAGAAACACTGATCTTTATACTGTTTCTATAGTTTTGCTTTTTCTAGAATGTCGTGTAATTGGAATATTTGAAAACTATGGAACAGAGTATATAGCCTTTTCCGGTTGTCTTCTTTCACTAAGCAATATGTATTTAAGTGTTCACTGTGTCTTTTTGTGGCTTGATAGCTCATTTCTTTTTTTTTCTTTCTGTATATTGAGTTAAAATATACATAACAAAAAGTTTGCTATCTTAACCTTTTTTAAGTGTACACTTCAATGGCGTTAAATACCTTTACACTTTTGTACAGTCATCACCACCATTCGTCCCCATAACTCATAAATCTGAAACTCTATACCTATTAAACAATAACTCTCCTTTCTCCCCTCCCCCCAGCCATTGGCAGCCACTATTCTACTTTCCGTCTATATGATTTTGACTACTCTCTGTTCCTCGTGTTAGTGGAATCATACAGTATTTGTGTTTTTGTGACTGGCTTATTTCAGTTAGCCTAATGTCTCCATGGTTAATCCATGTGTAGCATATTGCAGAATTTGCTTCCTTTTTAAGGCTGAATAATATTCCATTATATGGATATTTTGTGTATCTATTCATGTGTCAATGGACACTTGGCCTGCTTCTACATTTTAGCTATTGTGAATAATACTGCTATGAACATGGGTGTACAAATATCTCTTCAAGGCTCTGCTTTCAGATCTTTTGCATGTATATCCAGAAGTGGAATTGCTGGATCATGTGATAATTCTGCGTTCAATTGTTTGAGGAACATCCATACTGTTTTCCATAGCAGCTACACCATTTTACTTTCCTATCAACAGTGTACAAGTGTTCCCATTTCACCGCATCCTGGCCAACACTTTTTGTTTTCTGTCTTTTTGATAGCACTCATCTTTGTGGGTGTGAGGTGGTGTCTCATTTTGGTTTTGATTTGCATTTCTCTAATGATTAGTGGGTGTTGAGCATCTTTTCATGTGCTTATATGCCATTTCTAAGGGTTCTTTGGCAAAGGAGTCTTAAAGTCCGTTGCCCATTTTTAAATTGGCTTGTTTTTTAGTTGTTTAGTTTTAGGACTTCTCAGTATATTCTGGATATCAGTCTCTTGTCAGAAATATGGTTTGCAAATATTTTCTCCCACTCTTGGGTTGCCTTTTTACTCTGTGGACAGTGCCTCTTGATGTACCAACTTATAAAATTTTCGTGGAGTCCAATTTGTCCATTGTTTTTCTTTCATTATGTGTGCCTTTGGTATCATATCCAAGAAATCGTTGCTAAGTCCGGTGTCGTGAAGATTTTGTCCTATGTTTTCTTCTAAGAGTTTTATTGTTTTAGGTCTTACATATTATGTCCTTGATCTATTTTGAGTTAATTTTTGTATATGGTGTTGGATGAGGGTCCGACTTCATTCTTTTGCATGCGGATATCCAGTTTTCCCAGCACCATTTGTTGAAAAGAAACATTTCTCCATTGCATTGTCTTGGCACCCTTGTCAAAAATCACTTGACTATATATGTGAGGGTTTGTTTCTGGACTCCCTAGTCTATCCCATTGGTCTCTATTCTGTCTTTATGCCAATGCCATACTGTTGATTACTGTAGCTTTGTAGTAAGTTTTGAAATCAGGAAATGTGGGTCCTCCAGTTTTGTTCTTCTTTTGCAGGATTGTTTTGGCTATTCTGAGTCCCTTGAGATTTCATGTGAATTTTAGGACTGGTTTATCTATTTCTGCAAAACACATCATTAGGATTTGGATAGAGATTACATTGAATCTGTAGATTGCTTTGGGTAATATTGATACTTTAACAATAGTATGCCTTCCAATCCATGAACATGGGATGTGTGTCCATTTATGAATGTCTTCTTTAATTTCTTTCTGAAATGTTTTGTAGTTTTTATGTTGCAAGCCTTTCACCTCCTTGGTTAAGTTAATTCCTAAGCATGTTATTCTTTCTGATACTATTATAAATGAATTGTTTTTGTAATTTCATTTCCAGAGAGCTGATGGTTCGTGTATAGAAAGGCAACTGATTTTTGCGTGTTGACTGTGTATCTCGCTACTTTTATGAATTCATCTGTTACATCAAATGGCTTTTTTGTGGAGTCTTTCGGATTTTCTACATATGAGATGATATCGTCTTCAAACAAACCAATTTTGCTTTCTTTTTTCCAATTTGGATGCCTTTTATTTATTTCTTTTTATTGCCTCATGGTTCTGGCTTGAATTTTCAGTACTGTGTTGAATAGAAGTGGTGAAAGTGTGCATCCTTGCCTTGTTCCTGATCTTAGAGAAAAAGCTTTCAGTCTTCCGTCATTGAGTATTATGTTTGCTGTGCTTTTTTCATATATGGCTTTTGTTATGTTGAGGCACTTTCCTCCTATTCCTTGTTTGTTGAGTGTTTTATCATGAAAGGGTGTTGAATTTTGTCAAATGGTTTTTCTGCATCAATTGTGTTGGTCATGATTTTTTCCCCTTCATTTTATTGATGTGGCTTATTACACTGATCGATTTTTGTATGTTGAACGCCCCTTGTATATCAGGAATAAATTTCACTTTGTTGTAGTGTTTAATTCTTTTCATATGCTGTTGAATTCAGTTTGCTAGTATTTTGTTGAGGATTTTTGCATCTATGTTCACCAGGGGTAGTGGTCTGTAATTTTATTTTCTTTTAGTGTCGTTTCCAGTGCTGGTTATCAGGGTAAAGCTGGCCTCATAAAATGAGTTTGGAAGTGTTCCCTCTTTTGCAATATGTGACAGAGTGTAAGAAGGCTCGTTATTAATACTTTTTAATATATTTGGTAGAATTCACCAGTGCAGTCACCTGGTCCTGGGTTTTACTTTGTTGAGAGATTTTTTTTTAGATTTCTTTAAATATTAGTGACATATAACATATGTAAGTTTTAGGTGTTCAAGATGATGATTTGTGAAAGGATTACCAAAACACGGTGAGTTAGCACCTCCATTCCTTCACATAATTAACTTGTTTTTTCTAGTGATCACTTTTAAGATCTACTCTCTTAACAACTTTCAAGTATATAATATAGTATTAATTACGGTCACTAGGCCATACATTAGATTCCCAGAACTTATTCATTTTACAGCTAGAAATTTGTGTACTTTGACTCACATCTCCCCATTTTCCCCACCCCCAAGACCCTGGCAAACACCATCCTAGTCTCTATTCCTCTGCATTGGGCTTTTTTAGATTTCACATATGAGTGAGAATATATAGTATTTGTCTTTCTCATTCTGACTAATATTGCTTAGCGTAATGCCTCACGGTCGGTCCATGTTGTCACAAAATGTAGGATTTCATTCTCTTGCATGGCTAAATAATATTCCATGTATACATATATCTCACATTTTCTTTATCTATTTATCCATTGATGGACACATGGATTCTTTCCCTGTCCTCAGTTTGTGAATGATGCTGAAATGAACATGGGGGTGCAGATATCTCTTCAGAATGGTGTTTTCAATTCCTTTGGATATACAACCAGAAGTGGAATTGCTCACTTATATAGTATTTCCATTTTTATTTTTTGAGAAAATTCCACATTTTTTTCAGTAATGACTTTAGCAATCTACCTTCATACCAGCAGTGCACAGGGTTCTCTTTTCTACACAACTTTGCCAACAGTTCTTGTCTGTTTTCTCTTTCAGAATAACCATTCTAGCAGGTGTGAGTTGATATCTCATTGTAGTTTTGATTTCATTTCCCTGATGATGAGTAATCACGAACATCTTCTCATGTACCTGTTGACCATTTTTATGTCTTCTTTGGAAAAGTATCTATTCAGGTCCTTTCACCATTTTCATATTGTTTTGTTGGTTTCTTTGCTGTTGAGTTGTAAGAGTTTCTTATATATTGTGGATAGTAACCCCTTTAGTTTGCCAATTGTTTCATTTGCTGTGCAGAAGCTTTTCAGATTGATGTCACCCCACTTGTTAAGTTTTGCATTTGTTGCTTGCACTTTTGA